GATCCGGTTCTCAGCCAGTCAAGTGTTTCTCACAGTTGCAATTACTTTTTTGGATGGGTAAGTCACCAAGCTAAAAATTCTTTCTATGGAATGAATTAGATTTTTTTCCCTTAACTTTTCTATTGCTGATACCTTCTGTGGTAGTGCTTAGCACTGTGGAAGTGTGTTCAGATGCATATAAACTATGTTTTAATGCTGTATTAAATATGCTAATAATACTTTAGCTTAGTAATATGTTGTTGTTGTTATGTGCTGTCGAGTCGCTTGCGACTCATAGCGACCCTGTGTACAACAGCCCTAAACTCCACTCTGTCCTGTGCCAGTCGCACTGTCTCCGACACTCCCATCCCATTTATCCCAGTCACTGAATCAATCCACCTCATAGAGGGCCTTCCTCTCCTGCGCCGTCCCTCTACTCTCCCAAGCATGATGTCCCTCTCTAAGGACCGGTCTCTCCTCACAACATGTCCAAAGTATGTTAGACGGAGCCTCAGAATCCTTGCCTCCAAGGAGCCACCCAGTTTAACCCTTTCCAGGACAAATCTGTTTTCCTAGCCGTCCATGGTATTCTCAATACTCTTCTCCAACACCACAGCTCAAAGGCATCGATTCTCCTTCTATTGTCCTTGGTCATTGTCCAACTCTCTGATGCATAACAAGTGATTGCAAAGACCATGGCCTGTATCAGACGCACCTGAATCTCCAGAGAGACACCATTGCTCTTCACTACTTTGGAGAGGTCCCTAACAGTAGACTTTCCCATGGCAATGCGCCTTTTAATCTCCTGGCTGCTGGTGCCAAGACTGTTGACTATGGAGCCACGCAAACTAAAGCTGTGTACAATCTCAATCTCTTCACCATCCATCCTGATGCTGCCAATTGGTCCAGTGGTGAGAGTCTTTATCTTCTTGACATTGAGCCTCAATCCATATTGTAGGCTGCAGTCCTTGACCCTCTGCAGCAAGCGCTTCAGGTCCTCTTCAGTTTCAGCAAGCAGGGTTGTGTCATCTGCATAATGCAGATTGTTGATAAATCGTCCACCAATCTTGACCCCACATTTCTCCTCATAGAGCCCAGCCTCCTGGATAATCTGCTCTGCATACAGGTTGAAAAGGTATGGAGATAGGATCCATCCCTGGCGTACGCCCTTCCCAATTTTGAACCATGCAGTGTTCCCTTGCTCTGTTCTGATAATTGCCTCCTGGTCCAAATATAAGTTTCGCATTAGAACGATCAAGTCTCAGTAATATGTAATACCATGGAATTTCTCTTAATAAATAATAATTTAAGTAGTATCTGAAATCACTCTGTATGTTGCACTGCTCCCACCTAATTAAATACTGAAAAGATGGTAGAAGACTAGAAGCTTTTTTCAGAATTAAGGTTTTGTGAAGAAGTGCCTGTTAAGAATTTGGTTAAGCATGATGCTAATAAGTTTTTTGTTGTTGGTTTTTTTTAAAAGTTTACTTGGGAATTTAGGTTGGCTATAAATTCTAGAACATCAACTCTGTTGCTTGTTTCTGACATATACTAGGAATGAACCTGAGTTTTAGCATCAAAACGGGTGGGGGTGGGATTCAGAATAAGAGGAAGAAAAGAAAAAAAAACCCACCCCACACCTTAATGCTTTTAAATTAAGGAGCCACTATCAGTACCCATGGAATCACAGTTTAAAAAAACTAAGTGATTTATTGCACTGTGCAAATCTGTCACAAAAGACCTTTTGTAAGTGATAAAAAGCCAAGAAGTCTCCTTGAGAATTATTGTGCATTAAACACAAATGCTGGTATTGTAAGGTGCTTCATATATGTATATGGAAGCTGGACAGTGAATTGGGAGGACTGAAGAAGAATGGATGTAATTTGGTTTATAGTGTTGTCAAAAAATACTGAATATACCCTAGACTGCCAAAATAACAAAGATGTTTTTGATGAAGTATAGCTCAAATACATCTTCAAAGTGAGGAAGGTAAGACGTCATCTCATGTACTTAAAGTATGCTTTCAGAAAGGACCAGTTCCTGGGAAAGACATCCTACTTGATTAGGGTCCCAGTTCTTGCACATGGTGATTTGTTCACCTTGGTTAGGTGACTGGTCAGTGACTTACCCAGGGTTACAGTGTTTTATGGCTTACTGAGTGTATATCATGTTTTGATACATTTTTTTATCTAAAAATAACTGATGATAAAATTTTTTCTTCCCAACGTATATAGACCTAATTTATACATAAATATATAAACATAATTAATTTATCTTGAAGTTGAGCTGTGGTTTTGTAAAAACTTTATATAAATTTGGCCATGCATTATTTTGTATTAGTTTATATTTTCAAAGTCAGAATACTGAAAATACTAATCCAGTTCTCGTCTACTATAATAGGCTGTTTATAACTTCTGATGACACTTAAGGGCATAAAAACAAAACCCTCAACAAACCTTTGTTGTCTGGAGAAAGGTACTACAGGTAGGGGAGACTGAGTTTGCACAGCTCTGAACAGAAGTTCTACACGTTTGAAAGGAAGAGACGTGCCTCCATTCCATTATATTCTGCAGACCATCTCTCTGAATTTTGTTGTTTCTTCTACTTGGAATGCTGACTTCTTTTCCTGTCACAGGATTGTGGGAAACTTGGGTTTTAGCATTTAGCTTGAAAGTTCTCCCTAAGCAGTGTTAGAAATTTTCCTTGACATCAAACACAAGTGATTTCTTAGCCCTTTGGAAACTTGATTTGTATTATTCTTATGGCCTCTTGCTTTATCAAGTAGTTGATTTTAAGTTCCTTCAAAATTAGAATTATTTTTGTATTCTTAGCACTGCTTTTGAAGTTAATATGGTTCACTGGGATCCACAGTCAACACTCATGAAAGCAAGTCAGAAAAATTAAATCACATGTTACATAGGACAGGTCTACTGCAAGACCTCTTTAAGCGTTAAAGAGCAAAGAGGTCACTTTGTGAGGACTAAGGTGTACCTGTTTATAATTTTCTGCCAGTTCATACCTTAACCTTGAAGGGTTTCTAACTCTAACATAATTACTTTGGTTTTTAAGCCACACGCTCAGAGGGTACCAGATGGATTCTTGACTTCTTTTTCTACATGGCTTCCTCTTGTCCAGTTTTTACCTGCTCTGGAATGGTTGTTGATCAGAATCTGAAAAGAATTGTTTCTGTACATTTTATTTTCGATTTCCGGTTGTTTTAGTGAAATGGCATATGTAATGCTGATTATTATACCTCTTTATTTTTAATTTTTATATTGGTTTGCTTACAAAGTTCCGGTATGTTGTGTTTCATTCTACTCTTTATTTACATTATGATTCTTATGGTCATTCTTATTACATTGTATAAAATTAATCACCATTCAGGTCCCTGTGGACCCTTCCCATTTCCTGTACCCAATTCCCTCAACCCACCAAATTGTGCAACCCTATGATTTTACCCCGTCCATCCTCAAAAAAGATAGAACACTTAACAGATTTGCCATATTTGCATGTCATCCTTGTGCAGGGGCCATGCTAATATCTGTATGGTTTCAATTTTAGTATATGTGCTGCCTACATCAGCACATACCTCTGTACTCTTTAATATTAAAAGCATATGGTAAAATAGTATGATCTAAAATAAAATGAATGGTAGCATTTTACGACATTATCTGCTAGAACTTTGTGGATAATGTGCTGTTCACTCAGTAACCACTAAACCACACATGACTGTTGAGAGCACTTAAGTGTCTCTAGTTCAGCTGAAGAAATGACCTTTTATTAAATAGTCTCATGTGTTTATTGGTTAGTGTCCAGCAGGAATATAAAATTCAGCCATATAACTATGACATTTAATAAAAATGCTTATAGTTGATCTTTAACAGATTGTAATTTATAAAATTAGTATTCTTTTCAAATTGAAAGAAATCATACATGCTACATTATATAGATCATTAGGAAAATACTAATTTCAAAGGTAACAAATAGTTTGCTGTATTTCCTTTTAGCCTTCAAGAGATAGTAGTATGGAATTATTTGGTTTTGTTTTAAATATCTGTCTCAAAAGGAGAAAAAGGGAATGTGCATGAATGTAGCACTGAAAGTTTTGCCCATTTAGAACTAGCTTTGTTCATTGTCAAAGAAGACATTGCCTAAATACCTTTTGTTAGCTTTATCGTTCATCACCACTGTTGACTTGGTTTTTCCATTTTATGGCTGACATCATGCACTGTGGAATGAAATGCTTCCCAGTCTTACACTGTCCCAGGGTTTGGGTCTGAATTGATTGTGATCCCATTGATTGGTTGTAAAGATTGCATTTTTATTAGCTGATTTTCAGAAGTGCATCACAAAGTCATTCCTATTCCAACTTTGTCTGGAGGGTGTGCTGAAACCGGGTCGACATCTTGGTACAAGCGAGCCTCCATTGGCGGATGGGGAGGGGCTGTGCATGAGGTGCAGTGGGAATCAGAACCCTTGAAAGCAGGTTTTTCTGCCAGGGATCCACACCAGTGCCAGTTATTGGCCTGCATGTGTAGCAGTTTCAGAAATAGTATATGAATATGTACACTGTCCTCCTCTCTTATGTACTAGTTACAGCTCGGTATTTAACTGAAAAGCAGCTTTTTTGTGTGTATATATATATATATATATATATATATATATTTTTTTTTTTTTACTGCTTTTTGACAGTAATTGGAGAGAAGCCAGATATAATTGAATCCTTGGGTTATTTTCACATTAGACTGAGAATGATTGCGTGAAGGCTGATCTCAACTTAGTCATTTGAATGACTGCTGTGCCTGACCATGGATCATATGTTTAGAGTTCAAAGGCCATAAGGATGTGTGGCCTTGTGGGAGAGAAAAACATAGTTGGGTTGTCTTCTGTTCTTTTGGATAGAGGAAAAAATATCAAATTGTACTCTTCTGCTTTATAGTATAAAAATTTTACAAAATTAGTAGATAATTCCAGTGATTGTTTTTCAACTTTTGAAATCTTTTTCTAAATTCTTTATTTAGGTGAAACATGGAATCCATTAAAATTGCATTATCAGTTAAGAAACGTACGGGAACGATTAGCTAAAAACCTGGTGGAAAAGGGTGTATTGACAACAGAGAAACAGAACTTCCTACTTTTTGACATGACGACACATCCCCTCACCAACAACAACATCAAGCAGCGCCTCATCAAGAAGGTCCAAGAAGCCGTTCTTGACAAATGGGTCAATGACCCGCACCGCATGGACAAGCGCCTGCTGTCCCTTATTTACCTAGCCCATGCCTCGGATGTCCTGGAGAACGCTTTTGCTCCTCTTCTGGACGAGCAGTATGATTTAGCCACCAAGAGAGTGCGGCAGCTCCTCGATTTAGACCCGGAGGTGGAATGTCTGAAGACTAGCACCAACGAGGTCCTGTGGGCGGTGGTGGCTGCGTTCACCAAGTAACTGCTTGGGAAGAAAGCCTTCTCTTCTTTCTCTTGTCAATCAGTTGTTTTTCTTCTACTGATTCCTGGTTTTCTGCAGTTTCTACTCTCCCACACTGTAATTGGCTTTTGTTCTATGAAGATGGTGGATGATACTTTCTTTTTCTATGTATGCAGGATTCTGCTGGTACGAGAGGCCTTCCTGTTTCAGTTTTCAAATTGCCTGCCATATTGGCATTCCATACCCTCTTGCCATCTCACTGTTGCTGCTTTGGCTTGTTGTCATGCTTTGACTTCCTCCGTCTCCTCACATGCACATCTTCTGGGTTACCTCAACTCGAGGTTCCCCACTTCTGTGTGCACATTGAGCATTCTGCACACAGTTCAGACAGAAGTCACAAAAAGGCCTTCAACTCACCAAAGGGAACCATCTGTATCTATTAGGACATTTTATACATAGACCTCAGTTGATATTATACTTAGCAAAATTATTTTTAAATTAAACACAACAGTAAATACTTAATATAAAATGGCCCATGGATTCTGCTTCCCGTGTAAATCTGTTGTATTATTATTATTACACGTGTTTTAATTTTCAGCTATTCAATCATAAAGGTCCAGTTGTTTCACAAAGCCAGTTTGCGATGGACTGCATTCCAGTTATGCTGTATATAGTTTGATTTATATATAAATTGCCCCATTTTCTGGCCACCCATGCTTCCAGCTTAGTATTTGCAGGATTTAATGAGTTGTATACCTGGTGCCCACCTCACTTCAGTCACTGCCATTTGGTGGCAAAGTGGACCTCTTACCGTTGAAGGAGAGGTGTGTGTGCTCAGTCCCGAGATTCTCGCTGTCCTGTCGAGTCCAGAGCTGCCCCATTCACAATACTCTGCCTGTACATCTCCTTTTGGACACCCCCCACCTCCCAAGTCATACTGTTCTATTTTATAATTTCTGTAGGGAAGAGGCTTGTGACCAGTACTAATCTTGAGTACAGTTTTTGCTTTTTTGTTCACAAGTAAATTAATGTCTACTCTTAAATGCCGTTTATCTACTCACATTTTTTCTGGGGGAAAAAATCAGATGTCAGTCCTAGCAGATGTTGCATGTAAATTGTTACTGAGTAATGATTACAACTCAGATGATTAAGACTTTTATAACAGAAAGCTCTGCTATGGTTTAATTTTTATATACAATTATGATAATTAGCACATTGTAAGAATATAAACCTTTGCTTTTTAAAGTTTATTTTTACTATTTCTTTATCACTGTTTATCATACCATCATTGCTCTCATAATGTAAATACTATACATTGAACAAATTAAATGTCAGATTTTTTATTACCATAGTTCATGTTAATAGTGAGACTTTTCAGGTGTTTAGAGATTTTTTTTTTGTTAACCTAAATGCAAAAAGTAATAGATGGTGTATAACTCTAGAGTTGAATTTTAAGGGATTCCCTAATATGTATACTATCTTTTTATCTGAAATAATAAACTATGATCTTGAAAGTGCCTGAATCAGAGCAAGCATGTCATTTGTGTTTTTGTGTTCTTAGTTTCTTTATTTTCTGAGTAAAATATAGTTTTACTTAGTATGATATTTTAATGCAGGAACTAGCATATCTTTTCTTAAATAGGTAAATAATAATTATTTTTAAGTTTTGCAGACCACGTGCATACAGTTTCTTAAGCTGCTCAGTCCTGCTGAGTAGCTTGAACTGAGTCCTGCTGATTTAAAGTTGTTGTGGACAGAGCATATACATAAATAAAGGACAGCTAGCTGTGAATTACATATTGCCAGTTCTTGTCTTAATTCAAGGAAAAGCTTTTCTAGTTAGATTACCCCTACCTTCAACACTACTCATGAAATTAACTGTTTTGACTTGGAAGTTTCTTTCCATAAACTAGATACTGGAAGTTTGTAGTTAAAATCACTTGCTGTGTATCTGAGAGCTGGACAGTGAATAAGGATAACAGAAGAATGGATGCCTGTGAGCTGTCGTGTTAGAGTACTCAACATCCCATAGACTGCAGAAAGAGCATGCATACATACATACATACATACATATATACATACATTACATGCATTTGTTCTTTTTGCAGCCTTGTACAGCATAGACTAAAAACTTTTTCCATAGTTTAGTGCCATGGACAAGCACTGCTAATTACCTTTCTCTTTTGCCTCTGGCAGTCCCAAGGAGCTCTGATGGCCTAGAGGTAAGAAATTGTTCTGCAATCTCAAAGACACGTGGTTTGAATCCACCAGTTTCTCTGTGGAAGAAGAACCAGCACTCTCCTTCCATAAGTTTTTCTGCCTCTGAAAAATCGCTAGAGGGTCAGCTGTGGGGTGGTTCTGACTCTGGACACAGCAATACAGTCCCAAGAAGATTGAGCATTTTTTTTTGCATGCTAGGAGTACTTTTTTTTAACAAGAACCCATCAGTGTAGCACACATGTAAGCATTTCTCATGGTGGTGCAAAATAAAGGGTGTTTTTGTATACATGTTTTGGAGATAAAAACGTTGACCAATTTTATACGCAGAAGAAGGAATTGTCAGATGACAACCCCCACCCTAAATCCCAGGAAAACTGGATCTATGGTCTCTGACTCTCGACTCATGTCTTCCCATCGTGAACAGATGACTATATTACTCTTTAAAGCACAGCAAACCTTGCATTTGGTCATTACTCGAAGCACAGTGGGAAGGATGACCCCCCAGCCTGATGATGACCAGACTCCAGGACTCAGGCATGGCCACACTTACCCAGCAGCAGGCAGTCCACCAGTCACAAGTCTATGTAAGTATTTTCAAAGTTTAATTTCCAACTAGCTTATTGTCTATTGTTAGATAGTACTGCTCTGTTTCACCTTTATCTCAAGAGGGGTAACCAGCAAAAGGTCTCAGTTTATCTCAGGTATCCATGGATATCCTTGACTCTTCCAAATTCTGACATAAATGTCTTTTATATTCTTTAGGAATAGCATCAGTAAGTGGTGATAGGAATGTCCATAACCTTGCAGGCCACCCTTCAAAGGTACACAGATGGTAACTTGGTTGAATTAAAATGATAACCTTGTTCTCTCAGCCCAGTGTTAAAATGTATAGGCATTTCTTCCTAGTAAAACAGTGGTCTAATAGGATAGCCACTCGGATCATAACATGCGCCTTTGAAATTTACTTTTTTTCATTTAGTGGATAGATGAGAACTTTTTTTAACGGCATCATTGTATAGGTTGGTTAAATTTCCCATTGTTGGGTGTTTGGATTGTTAACATGCTTTTTGTTATTGCAGATAGTATTAATGCAATTTTATATACAGACCTTTAAACATTTGTCTGCTAATTCTGTAGGAAGGATTTAATAAGTATTAGAATGGTACCCCTAAAAATATCAGTGGTACAAGCAGGTGCTGGCTTTGCCCACCTTCCAGCCAGTATTACAGAGAGAAGGTTCATCGATCCTTCTGGTTTTTGCCAGCTCAGAGGAGAGAGCTGTCAAACTGTCTTTTTGGTGATTTGTATTTCAAGTCAGCAGAACTTCTATATTTTGCACATTAACCCCGCATCTGTGAGACAGCTGGTTTCCACAGTCTTTGGAGTACATTAAAATTTTTTCTTTCTTAACAGTTGGGAAATGGTGCAGTGTCTAAACTTGGAGTCTTTGGAGTCCTGAGTTGCCCTATTAAAGAGATGTGGTGGTCAGTTCACATACACAGAAATTTTGTATGTAATGAAATACAAAGGGAATTCTGGTGGCCTAGTCGTAAGAAGCTGTCCTGACATCCTAAAGACAGGCGATTTGCATCCCCCAGCTGCTCCTCAGGAGAAAGATGTCGGGTAATGATTTAGATGAAAGGGTAGTCTCCTGTGCAATTGATAGCCTCTGAAGACCTACTGGAGGGTCAGCTAGGAGTTGGTTCTGCTTTAATGGTATATAGGAACACCACCAATTAAAATGAGCAAATGGAAAACTCAAACCTAAACATATGAGTAGAAATATGTCCAGACACTCCATGAAAAATGTTAATAATGAAAATAGAATTGAGAAATTACCTATAAAACATATTAGTGAATACTTAAAAAATACATAAGCTTACAGCTACCACTAAGTCAGGAGACAGACCATCGCCAGCCCCCCAGAAGCAGCCTGACTAGGGCTTCTACGCCTCAAGAGTAATTACTGCCCTGTCCCAGTGCGCTGCTCTGCATTTAGTTCGTTGGGCCAGTTTCTTTTAAAGCATACTTTTTTTTTTTAAATTTTAACTTGCAACTTCTTATTTTGCCTTTGCAAAATACTTTTTTCTCTGCTTCTTGTTGTCGATTTGGAACTGACTCATAGCTGACACTCCAGCAGGTCTTTGGGGGCTGTAAGTTGCTCAGGAGATTGCCGATCTTTCTCCCATCTGCTAGTGGATTTGAATTGCCATAGGGCTGTGGCCTGTGAGCTACTCTGTACTGTTGTCCTATTGTTATCAGATGCCACAGAGCTGACTGTGAATTATAGTGACACTGAACAGCACATCTGAACCTCACCCCTTCCTTCGTCATCCTCACAAGAGGATGAGCCCTTTGTAACATTTAGTGCATCAGACCATCTTGTTGAAGACCTTTCTTTCTTTTGATCCTGCACTTTTCCTGTTCCAATTTCCTTGTCCCCTGTGCCCTTACCAGTAATCACTGGTGGGTAGTATTTACCTCCATTCTCCTACTCCCTTCATGCCAAGACCTAGGCCACGCCTACACTGCTCTGTATCTGGAACTGGAAGCTTTCGAAGCGTTCTCCCAGAGCCTATGGCCTGGGCCACTCCTGACCGGAAGTCACACTCCACAAAAAGGGGCACCTTCTCTGACTGGCAGGTGCCCATCCCCTGGACTGGCAAAGACATCATTCATTAGCCAGGAAAACTAGCCTAGGCTCCTCTGAGGCCACCAGAAACTGCCCAGGCTGGATGTCCCACCTCTTGACACAACACTATAGACTTCTTGTTAAGTGTCTTCGAGTCATCTGACCCTATGAATGAAAAGATCTGAAACCTGTTCTATTCTGTGTCTTCCTGACACATCAGAGCGCATTTCAGCAGTCACCATGTCAATCCACCTGGTTGACGGTTTTCCTCTATGCCCCATTAAATTGAATAGTTTAATATTCTTTTAGTTTTCAAAACTTTGGGTTTTGTTGATTGCAATCACATTGTACATTTAAATGTTTCTCTGACTTCTCTCCATAGTCTTTAAGAACAAGTGATTGGATCTGAGGTTTGTTGAGACTTAACCATTTCACAGGTTCTATTGTCGCACCTAAGGTCTGGTGGGTCTTTCCCAACAATGTGATGGTAGTCGAATTCTTGACATATCATTTATTTATTTACTAGAGTGTTTTTTATTTAAAGAGAGTCTTCATCTCATTCATTTCACCTCTCAGGTATGTCTGATCAGGAGGGGGCTGGTCCTTGGAAAGGCAGAGAGGGTCAGTGAAA